TGCTCGGAAGCAAATACACCGGCTTCAGGAGAATTGATTCTTGCGCAGAGCTACGGGAGCACCCTGGTCAATGCGCAATATCGACCTACATGTCGATCTAGAGTTGTCCACCATCGCTCAATTCCTGAAGTCGGGGTCGCGCCGATATTTCCAATCCACCGCCGCGCATCCCAATCCGCTAATCGTAAGTGCCGCCACTAACTAACTCCTACCGCTAGGTACGTTCCACCGTGATTACCGTAGACCGCGGCACTGATTCCCTGACGATGAGACGACTACCGCCATCGAAAGGAACGCAAGCACACCAACACACACCGCACTCGCCAGCGAGCGCGGCTAACATAGACTAGGTTCCGCCACGTACCTAGCAGGTTCTCCCCAGTTAATGATAGAAGCATTGCTGGAGTTTCTTCACCACTTCTTCTCCCAGCGCCAACGCTTTCCGATGTGGTAGTATTATTAGATCTAGAAATTCCCCCAGTCAGATAATAGCTACCGATCGAGCCGAGGTCCGGTGCTCTCAAGCACCCTCGAATCGGAATGCTAAACGCGTATTGAGTGACAGCCCAATCCGAGGGCCCCTCTCGGGGACCCTTGAGCCCAGTCAATCCATGGAGTGTCCGCCAAAGCGCCCTAAGAGCTTGGCGGCCTCCCACACCGGTGATAATAATAGCGTGACGGCTCGAGCCGAGGCTCCCTCGTCAAGCCAAAAAAAAAAAAATATCCGCTTACAGTCATCAAAATAAGTTCGAACGTTGTACCAATATACACACAAACCAGTTCACACTGAGTGAAGAATTGAGACGCCAAAGATCGGAGATAGAGTGGAAAACGACCAAATAGAATGCGCTATCAATTCCACGAATAAAGCTCACAGTGGGGCGTGCCGAAAGCCCGTTGGAACGAATGCCGGAAGTAAGTTTATGCTAAACCTCTGCCTTCGCTGTTCCCGCCTAGAGTGCGCCGTGACTTGAATGCTAAGGAGCGCATACCGAGCGATACAAAGCCGGGAAAAGCATCCAGAGGAGTCCGCGTCGCGTGGTGCGGCTGCGTCTCGGGAATAGCAGTTCTTCGGGAGTGTTTTCGTTAGTGTATAATATCACTCGAGACACAAACGCAAGCCCTCCGTCTAAACATTCAAGCCAAACACTGAATTTATATTGGATCTAAGCACAAGGCCTTCTTGAATGCGGCGCATCCAAATGATCCACCGTCTACATGTCGCTGAAAATCTAAAGTATTAAATATCGGAGCGTTTTCCAAAGAGATATGAGTGGTGGAAACCAAGACCATTTATGATACCCTCATTTGTTATGTAATAGGCTTGGGAAGTCTCAATATTCTTAAAGTGTCGAGACACGAGATCGTGTTTGCCATCTTTGTGCTCCTGAACCATTCATTGCGTTCATCGCAATTTCTTCTAGACTAGCTTTTATAGTCTCAGAGAACGTTAGACTATCATTGGCCGATTTCTTATATATATTTTTCTGTATTGCCTTCTGAATATTTCATTACCAGATTACAATTTAAATAAACGCGTCTCGAGTCTCGACCCGAAAGTCTTTGGAGCCAATTAAATTTATAAAACATCCCGTGATTTCGAGACACGTTGAGTCCCTGGACTGAAACCCGACTACTACTACTTGAATTTTATTTTAACTAATATTTATTTTAAATTATATTTAATTTTTGTGATCAGATCGCGAATAGCTTATCATTTAATAGATCTATACACTTTTAGATCTTGTCATATAATTTAAAGTAAGCGTTGTTTGCGCACTTTGATGATTTATAAATAGATCATTATTAACGGAGATTTGAACCTTAGACTTTCCAACAAGGCACACATAAGAGCTGTTGACCAACACTTGACGCGAAAGGGTCTGGTCGTGTTTATCCGAAAATTTTACCGGAGAGCTCTTGGTCAGAGAACTTTGAGAGTCTAATTATCGAGGTTTACCGAGGACGTTTTCTTATTGTCATGAAAAAAAAAATATGTTTTCAATGAAACACAAAGTTATGCTTATACGAGCGAAAATCACAAAAGAAAACTCAGAGTAATTGGGGGAAGGTCTTTATTCACTCTTTTAAAATAGTTTTCTCAGAAGTACTTTGAGACAATACATGCATGAAATTATCCATTTCAAGAATAATTTCATTCAATTTATTAATTATCTAACATGAGCTCATTTGAGGCTTAAATAAATCTTTGTTACATTTTAAATGAAGCCCCTCTTGTACTCCGTAGCATTCACCGTAGACCGCGTAGCATTATAATTACTTGTGGCTACGCCAACGACGGATACATAATAACGCAATACATACATTCGCGCCGAGCAAAGTCTACGATACAGCCTATTAAAACTTTCGCCTCATAACGACGTATGTTGTTATGCAATAACAATAACAAGATCGCTCGAACACAATTTGTATGTACGACGGTTTCGTTTACTTTGAATGGATTCCAGAAGAACGTAGGAACTAATGTGAATTTGAATAATTTTGAAAAATTATTTTTACCATATGACGTTTACTTATTATATTATTACGATATGAAGAGCAATAGTAACATGCATGATAACAGTGACAACACGTTAAGTGATCTTTTTCATTAAATAAATTATATATACTTTTACTAGCGGCTATATTATACATGTAAACCTTCCTCTTGAATCACTCTATCTAGTAAAAAAACGCATTAAGATCCATTGCGTATTTTTAAAGATCTAAGCATATTACTAAGCACTTAAAAAAATCCAATAGGCGTACCAAAAAAAGACGCTAATGAATCAAGGTATTGAGCTTTTCCTATACATATAAAACTTAAATTCATAATAGTCTTTAAGCTGACATAGTACCCCTTAAAAATGTTTATACAAAATTTATGTACAGGAAGCATCGCGTCTCTTAGTTAAATGTTTTTATGTCATTAAAAAAAAGCGTAAATAAAGTTTCTTACTTTTTTCCTCAAATGCTTTCTTCCTTTATGACTTTACTTCCTTTATGAAGAGTTAAGAGGGAAGAGATTACTTTCTTACATGTATAGACTTTTTACCGTCGGAAATATAATGAAATATAATAAAGTAATAAATAATTAAATATATATCATAAAATATCTTTATTCACATAGACGCTTGCGCATTCTTATGAAACGTCGAAATTTTACAAGGAAATTAATATGTTCGTAAGTTACCACCGGTTCGGAAAGCAGTTTCTGTTGAGAAGAAACCGGCAAGAAACTCAACAGTTGCTCTTTTTTAAAAGGTCAGTTTACAATATAATGTTACAGGTATAATAGTCTTGTTCTAGCCTATGTGAGTATCAACAGTATTAACCCCACACATTGTTGTCGTCAAGATATTCAGCAATAGTATAATATGCTTAAGCCATAAGTTTACTTTTAACTTTTCGTTTAAATTCATCAAGTGGCAGACTTAATTGTTACTAACGGTTACCGATTTTTCCGTTAAAATTAGGTAGCCGGAGCCCAATTTCCAAAAAGGTTGTCAGCATTTGCAAATACCCTCGTTAATAATATTAATAAAATTCAGGTTAATTATTAATTCCGTTAATAAAATTCAGGTAGCCGGAGCCCAATTTCCAAAAAGGTTGTCAACGCATTTGCAAACCCTCGGGTGTAGCAGATGTCCATGGGCGGCGGTATTCAGTTAACATCAGGTCAACCGTCCGCTCGTTTGGCAACTTTTCACATAAAAAAAAAAAGAAAAACGTCAGTTGATTCAACTGTAATATCTTTACATAGTATGAAGTCACACCCACTGTTATATATGGCTTTGATGTTTTAAACTGCGCAACGGATGTTTATACAGTTTTCAGCAATAGATAGAGTGATTCAAGATGAAGGTTTATATGTGGTATACCTGCATAATATTATAGTATAGATAATCCAAGATATTCAAAGTTTCGTAAAGTGATGCGTTTATATCGCAAACCTTCAAGATTGATCAAACAAAGGAATGACTAAACAATCGTTATTGCACACACACTATGGTAAACAAATATTGAAAAAGACGATCACCACCCTTACGAAGTCGGGGCCGGTCGCTATTCTTAAATGACGCCGGCCAGAGTTTTATTTACAATGAAAAGTTATGTAACAAACAGTCCAAATGCTCGTTTGTACCGCCACGATACCCAAAACAAAATTTACACTAAATCCGCGCACTTGCTATTTACTGTGTACGTAGTACGGTGCATAGTAACCTGAATGCTAACAGCAGATACCGCGGTGCAAAGTTTAAAGTAGTAACTGTTCCAGTGACAACCAAAAAGTCGCACCGCATTGCACTTCAACCATTGCCTGGCTAGTGCGTAATAAAGATCGTACACCCTAAAGCGAGCAATGTATAGCGATCACTTTGATGCCGAGGGAAAGTCGGCAACGCTCCTGGTAGAGGGCCACTACTCATTTCAAATTCCTTCAGCGTAATTGACGTAAACAAGGAGAATATTCTTACGTGTTGATGCTTTAATTAACGTCAAAGCGCTGATTTTACCGAGGCTTCGTTGGGTTTAAGCAAACTGTTCAAGAGCTCTCAACGTGCTAGGAGATGCGACATATACGTGGAATATTATACTCGGCTCTTCGTCACCAGAATGGCTTCTGTTTTTGTAGTTACTTAATAACAAAACATTCTGTTATTAAGTGTGTTTATAAATAATTTTCTTTAAATTAGAAATTTAGCCGACTGCAAGAAGAATCGATTTGAGGCAAACTGATTTTCGTGCCTTCTTTTTGACATTTAATTTTCATGTCAATATTGAAACAGACGCTGGTAGAACATAGATTGGAATAAGTTTATAAAAAGACAAGTTTATGAAGCAAGTATATTACACATGTACAAGTGACTAGACACAATCGAACGTAAAAAATTACTTTGCTACGTTATTGAGGAGGAAGCTGAAATACTAAGTATACATAAATAAAATAATTGTGTGACGATACAAATGTATGTGAGGTATATTGTCGGTACAGATTAGCAGTAGCTGAGGAGTTCGTTGATGCTGCACGGCTTGTCGCAGCACTCGTTAACAACGCCTGGATACCGCTTTCCCCTCGACGGTAGGGCCATGCTCTTGGCTCTGCTAGCAGGCACCCAGGGCATGCCCAACTGGGCGTCTTGGTCCCTGAAGTAAGGCGATAGCATCGTGCCTGCGAACGCGATTGATATTTCATTTTGTTTCATAAAAACGGCTATTAACAAAAGTTACACTAAACTGAGAAACCCGATAGATCTATCAATAAAATTTGTAAGAAGGTAAAATAAATAGTTTAAACAAAATCGTTCAAAGAAAGTCGTGTTTTCTCCAGTGCCGGATTAAGCAAGCGCGGGCCCGTAGCAAATTCTTTCAAACAGCCCTTGATCTGATATGGATGCTTAAGTATAAATTGGTAAAAAAAACAATTCAATACTCTGATTTACTTAATATAAACATATTAAGTAAGTAAGAGTACTTCTTAATAAGTTTTTATAATACTAAAAAAATTACGCATAGACAGAGATGAGTGGGTTTAAATATGCCCTTTCGCGAGAGGCTCGTAGCAATTACCACTCTTGCTATATGGTTAATCCAGCACTGTATAAATTGTATAAATTTATACAGTGCACAGTTACAGACTGCACTGCAGTTGTAGGAATCTCAATTTTCGTAAAGTTTTAATTGAAAACGAGAAGTGAACAAAATCAGTGATCGACTTACCATACATCGTGCCGAGTTCGGACCGTTTCTCATAGCCCGACTCGTCGAAGCAAATAAGAGCCAATGCCCTGGCCAGGGATCTGCCGCAATAGACTTGAGGATTGACGTCTTGGAGGGGAACCCCGCTGCTAATGTAGCCACGACACATTGAGAGCATCGTCAGGAAAGCAGCGAACGCCAAGGTCTGTTGGAGTTTCATCTGGAAAATGTAAGGATTTTATAAGCTATGGATGCACGAATGTATGTAATATACAGGGAGATTTTTTGAGAAGTGCCCAAATTTACACAGGAGGTTCAGACTCGGTAGTATCGTTTATTGAAATAAAAAACAAAGTTTTTTTTTTCCAAAAAAAATGCCATTCTATTCCCTAAAAAACACGTTAGTTATGAATTATCGCGAGTAAAATAAATGAGTTTCGTATAAATCACGCACTTTTTGAGATAAGTTCAAATGAATGTAATTAAATACTTACGAGTAATTTTAAATATTTATAATTTTTTATATAACATTATTTATGTTTAGAATTTAATAAAAAAAATGGATACACTTAGAAAAGCCACCCTGTACGTAGATTAATTACCGAATTGATATCTATGCACAAAACCGGTAGCATATATCTATTGATAATTGTACCAAGCTACACTGCTCTGTATTGACAGAGCAGGGTAGCTCGTTGTTCAAGAAAATTTTAGCCGTTATGTTGCTATTGATTTCTTATTATACAGCCCTAGTTTTATATTTTACAGCCCCGGTTTTGATATGAGCTTTGGGATTTCCCGAGCTTATACCAACAATCTCAATATATTAAAAATCTTATTAAACGATACTATCGATATAACTTGAACACCCAACGTATCGAATACTTTTTTATATGTAAAAATTATGAAAATAAAATTATTATACATTTTTTTAATGCCAATAAATATTAATTACCTGCTTACCTTGTTTATAGTTGATGCGCAACGACTGACTTCGGTTCAGTGTGAAGAAAATCACGAATATTCCCCATTATATACCCTTCTGCACGAGCTCTTATTAATATTAAATACCGCGTCAAGTTAGGGTGCAGGTTATTGTTAAATCAGGTGTGAAACGTGTCACTCAAAAATGAATAAATTATTACACTCGACTTATTTGACTACTCTATGATCGAGGCAAACGATTAGTAACTCTCAAGCTTACTTTGGGTTTGATTCTGTTTTCATTAGATATCTCTTCTACGTCGTTTTATTCACTTTACTGAAAGTCGTCAGCTCTTGTCAGAATTTTCTGTTTGCTATATTTTTACACCAATAGGTACGCCGAGTAAATTCATGTCTTTGATAAAAAAAAAATATTTAAGAAGGTTGCAAGCGAGCTAGTATTTATTTAAAAGCTGTTGCTTCCCATGTGGTCCCATATTAATTTCATTGATATTGGATCTTGGGCTCCGGAAATGCTTAGGGAACTCCTGAAAATCAATTATGAAATGAATACAGAGCGAGATATTTGAAGTCTGTTTTGTTTTTCGTTGATAAAAATGGACTTGTTCATTAAGTTTCCGATATTTCGGAGTTAGAGACCTGGGGATGAACATAGCACTTATTTTAAAAATCTTTCGAGTTTATGAAATTATTTGAAATCGGCTTTGATTTTTGTTAATAAAAATCAAATTTCAATGTCTTAAAGTCACCAAAGGCGGATACATGACTTATGCTGGCTAAATCGTATGTAAAACAAAAAAATAATGTACTAAAGAAAAGTAGTTATTTAAAAACCTAGGATATGTATGTCCGTGATATGTATATCTTCTAAGGATCCCAACCTGCTGGCTTGTAACGCCGTATCCATCGGAACGCTTTGTGAACTGTGATCGTGTGGTGAATCAAATATATAGAATGTATCATACATTAGTCAAAGGTTCATAAAAATGAAACCTGTACACTCTATCCATTATGGATCGGTAGTCAGTAGAATGGTGCATGTTGGCTGTGTGGCCATCTACGCCAAAGAAGCTAAAGGTCGCAGCAAAGTTCTACCCCAGTGTGTCATCATCATCGCCTTTCTCTTATCCCACCTACTAGGTGGGGTCGACACAACATGTTGTAAGGGGCTTTGGCTATTTTACGAACGGCCGGCTGCCTGACGTCAACCCTCCTTCGGAAAGAAACATTCAAATCCGGAACAATTATCTGTGGGTCACACAAATACTTGTCCCGCGCCGGAATCGAACCGACGACCCCCGACGCCGAAGTTAATATCTTGGGAACGGCCCCACCGCCTCCGCTTCCACCCTAGTGTTTATCGTTAGTATAGTTTCTTTTAGGGCTGTTCAGCTTGATAACTGCAAGTACAAGAACCTTGGCCTGTCAGTACATGTCCTACAGCCGGGCAAAGGCCTCCTCTACATAGAGGGTACTAGGGCGGAATTCCACCACGCGAACCCATTGCGGATTGACGTAGCTTTGAAATATTTTTTTAAACTTGTGCAGATTTCCTCACGATGTTTCCTTCACCGCTGAGCACGTGTTCCGCCAGCATCAAAATTTATAATTTCATTGGTGCTGGCTCCGTGATTTGAACTCGGGTAGCTTGAGTGTATTGTATCAAAAGATCGTCCGGACACTGAGCTCCTTGAGAGATGTTGGCAGTTTGGACCCAAATAACTCTGATAGAGTTTGTCTGCTTATTTGGGTTTGAACACTTCTAATCAAGATCACTTTATTTGAATTTCCGTGGCATTATTCGGTTAGACTTATAGCCTTGAACCACAGACTCGTTGGCAAGAGGATCACCGCGTGAAAGCCAATCTGAGTTCGGGAAATTCTTGACTCTTTAAACGTCTTATGTAGTCTCGCGTTTTAATTAATCGCACTTTACGAGCTTCAGCGGATCGATATATTTTTTAAACATTACTCTAATTTTTGGGATAACATTATCCTGTATTGTAATGACGTTTTACAAATATAAATTTCACGTGGACAAACTTGTTAAACAACTATCTGAGGGTCACGCAAACAGTTGTCCTGTGTGGGAATCGAACCCACGCATGACCCTCAAGGCCGAACCCAATACCTTGGCAACTGCACCACGGAGCCAACAGTTTTAATCCCATCTTGGAAGCCTTTTGGATACTTACGACATGAACACTAAAAGGTATTGAAATTATTTTAATGCCATTTTTTATAATTGTATATTTGTTTCTTTGTGTGTTACATCTTTATATAGTATAAAACAAAACCGCTCCCGCTGTTTGTAAGATTAGATTATACAGTTTTATAGAGTGATTCAAGAGAAAGGTTTATATGTAGTACACATACATATTGTAGTAAAGAAAAGCAGAGAACTTTTTTTTTTATGTGAAAAGTTGCCAAACAAGCCGACGGTTTCACCTGATTTTAAGTGAATACCGCCGCCCATGGACATCTGCTAGTACATCCGAGAGTAACAGATGCGTTGACAACCTTTTGAAAATTGGGCTCCGGCTACCTCACTCACCATACGAAACGCGAAAGTATTTGTCATACTTCAACTTTACGCTGGTCTTCTGTGAGGTCGTGGTACTTACCCGGATGGGCCTGCCCATTCGTGCAACAGCCGAGGCTGCTGCGTGGCCCTACCACCGTTTAAGATTTGTAATGTAATGTAGTAATAAAAAGATTTTTGTGCGCTTACATTGCAAACGCTTTCTAAACCTTACGAGATAGAACAAATTAATGTACTACAGATTTATATATCATGAAAAGTTTAATTGAAAAAACAACTGGAAATATTGTATATAAAGATATCCTGTAGTATAGACTAATCATAATATTATTAATACTTCATACTTCCTAGACTTTACGCCGCGGCTGGTGACGAGAGAGCTGGTTCTTTTCTCGCTTAAAGGGTAAGCGTAAGCGAGGAAATGCAGCTAGCGTTCTTGGTACCATGCCGCGTGGACTAGGTTTATTAGAATTATCTAATACATATTAATGTAATTTGATATTAAACGTTGCATATTTTGGATAAATAAATTGTATATTTATAAATATAACCTTCACACTGCCCTACATTAGTATCTACATTTCACCCGTGCCAATTTGACCGAGTGCGAAAAAGCTTTCATGAGTAGCTGGTGAACTTATATATTTATATAGGAAAATAATATTACGATGCATGGCGAATCCTAACGTATAGGTTATATTAAATATATTTACTTATAATATCGATTCTGACTGATAATATTGATTCGTTATCAAAATAAAAATTTGCCTGCTCTTAGATTTTTTTTTGAGTTATTATATAATTCTAGCATATTCTTCGTGAAATTAAACAAGTAATTAGCGTGTATACGCAGTTTTCTTTGAGGCTCAAAGTGAATGTAATGATAAATAATTTTTGATAAAGTCTTCGCGCGGGCGACGCCACCGACGCACCCCGGGCCGCACTTATGCCGTCTAATAGGATGAAACGAAGCGTTACACGCAACTTGACAGCTCGTTTGTGACCTCATTACGCTCCGTTGGCCGTTTAGGGGAGATTAGAAAATATGACGCGATCAAATGGAAACTCCGTCGCGTCTAACTGCCTCGTGTTTCCTCCTGCGCTGGGCGAACACGAATTACGGCTTTTTATTATGTGGTGGCAACCGAGCTGGCGGTTCACCTGATGTTAAGTGATCCGTCGCCCAAGGACATTTGTGACACCCGCAAGGTTTCAGATACGTCGCCACTCTTTAATCAAGTGGAACCCGGTAACTTCACTCACCAGATGAAACGCAGAAGTATAACAGTTCCACTTTACGACGGTCTTCTGTGTGGTCGTGGTACTTCCACTGACTGCCCGTTCGTGTCACAGCTAAGGCTTTTGCACGGTCTTTTCAGTCAATACATTTGATATTTGTATGGAGCTTGCTCATTCCGTTTAGTTCCATCCGTCAAAAACAGATGGCGTTGTTTCAAATACAAAACCATTTTAACTATGATACCATTAAATTAAAAACAAAATTTTATTTTAAGTTAAAATAAATTTATAAGAAAAAATTATGTATGGCTCTTATATTGGAGAAAATTTTATTTTATTAAACAAAAATGATTAATTTGAAAGAAAACAACTAAGCAAAATGCTGGAAGTAATTTTAAACAGTGTAACGGAACGTTACCGACGTAACTGCGGCCGGTTATTATTCATTTATTTTATTCGGTTATCTTTCATTATTCATCATTTCCTTTTGTTATACGTTACGGAAAAACATTAATTTTGTATTTGCGGGTAAAGGCTGCAACGATAATTTGTATTCTTTTCCTCACCTGAAAATGATAATGACTGATTTAAAACATGGATTCAATTGATTGGAGGAAATTTACTGATTTTGGATAGTCAAAAATAATTTAACGTAAATAATTTACTAAACGGCACCACACTCGAAATCAATTCATAACAAAGATTATATAAAAAATAGCGAGTGAATATTATAAGAAACTAAATAAAGTTCGCAAAACATATTTCTGTATTTTATTTACTTTATCCAAAAATAACATCTAGCAAGCTTGTATCCAATTACAGTTTTCTATACAATGTTATCAAATATAAATAAAATAAATTTCATATACACTATATAGAAAACTGTAGTTGAATACAGCTCTCAACTATAAAAACAATGGTTAATTATATACATCTGAACTTGTAGTTCGGTCCCGCATCAAGAGATGGCGCTGTCTCACGAGGACACTGATAACTCTATATTAATAATGTACTCTTTAGGCTTTTGCGTGGCCCTACGTGGCCCTTAAAAAATAAATCCGAGCAACAGATTTTGAACAAGAATATTTGGTAAATTTAAATTGTTTAAAGTGCTAATCTTTGCACTTAAGATTTAACGAATCTTTACACTTAAGATAAAATAATATTTTGTACAAGTACAAGTATCACGCGTACATCGTGAGTCGTTTCTTTTTCACACGCCTATGGCAATTTTTAAAGTACCTTTTTTTAGGTTACCTTAAAAACGGTCTTTTGGGCAGAGTATTGTGCACGTTGTTGTTGGAAGAAACAAATTAATCTTAAATTCGGAAAGACAATTTAAGACTAGTAAATGATAATAATAATGCACAAACAGAGAATAAAAAATTATAAAAGTAAAGTAACAGCCCATTTATAAAAATATAATATCAGATTTCATATTTGATATTGCTACATAAATTAAGTTTGTGAGAGGATCGACCTCTGTACGTTTGTATAAGGTAAATATGTTAAACTACCATATGTTCCCGAATTCGTCTGCATCGATATCGAAAACGGATGTACTTTTTATTTACAACTTAAACCTTTCTCATACACTTATCCCACAAGTGTCATGCTGTTTATGTTATTGGCTAGGTTTGTTACGACCAGCTAACTGCTTGACGAAAGCCCTTCTTGAAAATAAACACTCTTTTTCTTTGTTTTTTAATTGCCATTGCTTTAACATAAATTTCACACAGACAAACAGCCAGATGCGAAACAACTATCACACAAACAGTTGTCCCGTGTGGGAATCGAACCCATGACCCCTGTTCGAGCGCAACGCCTGCCTGTTTACGATGAGCAAATAAACGCATAGCGTAATTAATTTTAATTAGCTGTAAGGTCTCATTTGTTAAATTGCATGTCATCCCTGTTCACATTCGTTCGTCATTGAGGCAATACACATTTTTGAGAAGTCCCGAATTTTGAGTTTCCCTTAAAAATCCCTTGAAATTACCGAACAACCCCTGACGCCGAAGCCAAGCAGCCTTGACAACTGCGCCATGAGTCAAGTCTCAGATCACACAAATACTCATACCGGCCGCTTAGTTTGTAGTAAGGCCACGCAACAGCTTATGTTGTTA